ATATATATATATATATATATATATATTTTTTACCACTGTAATTTCAGCATGAACCGGAGATTACTTCAGAAAATATTCACTACACCTCATTTGGAGGTATTCAATTTGGTTCGGCAAACCTTGTTATATAACATATTATTTCCATTACCAATGGCATGCAATATATATTTTCCAGATTTATTCATAGTGTCATTGTGAAATTTTAGATTCAACCTGTGTAAAAAAAATTAAAAAAAATGGAAGATTTAAGACATGACAGCCCACATGTCTGCTAAGTAGGAAGCACTGTAAGCACACAGTCTATTTCATTTTGAAACAACTGCCTATTACCATTCTAATGGCTGCTTGTGTGAGAGAGTTTCACCCCAGGCTTGAGGCAGCCGGCTGCTGCTACAGGATGATCCATCTGCATGGCAGAAACCATCCATCCAGTGGATAGCTACAGGCTGCAGGCCGGCCCATTGTGTGGGCTGAGCACTGTGACTGCTCCCTCTTGTACCTCCATAATGGGATTACATTAGCCAGGTTCTTCTGCTCCCTCTCTAGCTCTCTCTCTTTTTCTCACTCATATACACACACACACACACACACACACACACACACACACACACACACACACACACACACACACACACACACACACACACACACACTTACAAACACACTTGGTTTGAGAGCCCATGTGTGAATGACTGACTGCCCACTTGGCCACCGCATGTTTGCACCCTGTTTACTTGCCTATGGCCCATGGCCCTGTGTAATGATGCAGGTTTCACCCCTTTTTACAAACACTTTTGTTTTTAGTTGAAACATATTGTATTGAATGTTGAAGAAATGTTTTTTAAAAACTATTTCACTTGTCCTATTTTTTCATTGTTTCTTTCTTGGGTGACGGAGAGAGTTGGAAAAAGAGCAACACTAGAAATCAGAGAACCGCAGACAAAGATCGAGTGAGAAAGAAGGTTTTGTTCAGGGTTTTCCTCAAGGAGAGGCTGCCATGTGTAAAATCTTGTTCAGAACCAACAGTAGTGTTTTGTTGGGCTGCACCAGCAGGGCTGAGCGGTTAGTTGAAAGCCAATTTGTTAATGTCTAAACGCTGCTCTAGTTTTCCCTCAAGGACAAAGATTGATATTCAACATAGCATTTCAAGACACCACAGAAGAAGACAACTATGGAAAGCGATGATACTCAAGAGGAATTATGCAAGAGATCTCAAAGAGAAGACATTGAGTTTTTTCCTCCTCTTTCTCATCTCTTTCCAGTCTGTAGCTCATCAGCTTCACTTACGCTAGCACTGTCAGTGCAAAAAGAAGCAAAAAATACTTTCTGACAAATCTTGTGTTCTGTTCATCCCTTTTCAACATCGTAATGACTCCATATAGCTTGTCTCTGCTTTACAAAGTGTATCTTTAATGCTTTCAGAGGGTGTTTCAGAAAAATCTATTGGCCGTTTATGCTATTAAATACTAAATGATAAAGGATTGATTTAAAGGGTCAGGCAACCAGCCCACCAAAGCGTTTGAATCTGGAGGTAGCCACCATAAAATTAAAACTGGGATCAATGGCGTGTCATATCCCTGCTGCTCCACAGGCTGAACATATAATTCTAACATTGAGGCTGCAGTCATCTCTCACGTCTGGCCTTCAAGCATCAGGCTCAATAATCCAGTAGGCCTTGACTGCTGTCTGCGCCACCCATGCTACAGTATTCACAAGCAGTAGCAGACAGATAGTAGTTTAGTCGTTATATTTGGGCTCCTCTGCACAACTTTGGAAGTAACATGGGAATAAAGGTTGTATGCGTAAATGTTCCTTAGGATTTTCATAATTTAGAGACACAAAGGTAGTTGGAATTTAAAGTCAAATGGCACAACAGTGTTTACTGACACCATAGACAGCCAGCAGGCCTCAAAGAAAACCTAGTAGTCTTTTGTTGCTATTTGGTTAAGAGTTCCTCAAAAAAATCTTTATTGTAGAAAACTTTTTGTGATGTCACACAGAGAAACTATTTGTTTTATTTACACGATACTCCTTTTTAGTTCTGTAAAGAAAATTTGCAGCCTTTGCATGTTTTTCCTGATCTTTTTATGCAATATATCGAGACATCTTTCCATCATGCATAATGATTGCGAAACGTTTTTGTAATGCACTGAAAAGAAGCAAATTACAGTCACAGTGTTTTGTGCTTCTGCATCCTCTGACAATGTTAATTGCAATCTGTCAATCCTTCTCCTGGATTAACTAAATGTATCTTTCTTTTTAGAATGACTGCAACGTAGACATAGCAATCAGAGAAAACTTGATTAGCATCATTTTCAGATAGTTTTTGGTCGACTCTGCTGTGGAGTTTTGTAACAATGTGAGGTTGATTTGGACAGTGTAGGTTCAAGACTTAAAAAGTGGTATATAATAAAAGGTCCCCCACAGAGATGAGTCGTGTTTTCATCATTGTACAGCGTCATTTAGGCTGATAGGAGGGGTGACCTTTGAAGGCCATTATCAATGTGTTCTAATAGGGAGTATCTGGCAGTGTCAGCTCTGAGAAGAGAGTGATGTTGTTTGGGGGATGATCGATTCAATGACACATCTGTCTGGAACAGGTGTTTCTCTGCTGCCTATCTCCTCTCTTTGTCAGTGCTTGCTAGCTGCAGCTGGGTCTGCTTCAACCCTCCGCCTGCTCTTGGCTTTATCTTCTTTCAATGGCTCTGGATTGCATTGCTAACAAGCCAAAAGCTAGTCCCTGCCTGCAAGCCTGCCATGGCTTTACTAGCCTGCTAGTGTGCAAACGAGACTTGGGCTGAACAGTAACTCAGTCACCAATTCAATCATCTTTCCGTTTATAATGTCTTGACTAAATAATTTATAAGATAAAACTTAGATATTGTTTGTTGACTATACACTAGAAGAAATTGACAAACACACACTCATCTTATGGTTTTGAATACTGAAAGCACAAAGGAGCCATGTTAATGTAATGTTGTAAAAGTGTCTCTTGGATAACATTTGTTTCAAATTCCCAAAACTTGAATGCAATGAGCAAAGAGTAATGTGATAATCTTAAAGGGGCATGACTATTTCTATATAGGTTTTTTAATTTGATTCTGTAAAAGAAGGCTTTTGTTTGGATAGGAAAGTTGTAGAGAGAAAGGAAATGTGTGGAGAGAGAGCAGAGGATGACATGCACTAAACAACGTCAGCACCAGGAGAGTTGAACTCAGGAGTTCAACGAGGACAGTAGCCTCTTTACATGGGGCGCATGCTCTACCAAATGTGCTTAAATGGGGCCCACTTTACAATAATTTTCAATGCCAAGATTAACCATAAATAGAAGTTACTTGCAGCTAATTTAAGCTTCAGAACTTGCAGTTTATTTAATATAGAAGTCTTTCCTTTTCTCTTCATTCCTCAGACACCTCTGTGTCTGTACTTTATTATATGTATAGCCTTATTTCTTGTGTTTTATCTTTTTTTCGATGTATAATAATCAGGAACTAGATGAATGACTAAACAAAAAAGTTAGATATTTGGGCATAGCTCAGCCACTCCCTAATCAGCCTGAGTAGCGCTCTGCAGTATGAGATGTTTTTCCAGGCACCACTGTGCTGGAATGAGATGCCACTCACCATTAGGCCACTCTGCGGAAGCTGCTGGTGGATGGGCTTCAAATGTAAATACAGATCAGTCATCAGCTTATTGTTACACAACAACCTCTTGCAGTTTCTTTCTCATTGCTTCTGTGTTCATGTTTCACACCAGGCCATAATTGTAAACTGAAGTCATAATACTCATCTTGTTTATATTTCAGAGCCCCTTGCAGTTTTCTGTGGTCCTATATTGAAGACATTTTTGTAGGTAGCTTCAGTGGAGCAGAGAAAAGTGTGTGTGTGTGTGTGTGTGTGTGTGTGTGTGTGTGTGTGTGTGTGTGTGTGTGTGTGTGTGTGTGTGTGTGTGTGTGTGTGTGTGTGTGTGTGTGTGTGTGTGTGTGTGTGTGTGTGTGTGTGTGTGTTGTTGCAGGCTGACTAGTGGATTGGCTCTGTCCGATGGCAGAAGGAGAGGGATCTACTTTGACAGTGTCGTTAGTCCATCTGTCTATAATCAGCTGCGTTTGTATATATGTGTGCTGCTGCTAAGCCACTTTTCACAAACAGGTGGTCAACCGTACCCTGATGTAAAGTTGTGAGGGGAACTTAGTCTTGTGGTCCACCTACTTTTTAATTAACTCTTATACAGCTGTTTTTTTATACAGAATCCTACTTCAGAATGTAAATGAAGCTGTCACTGAGTTGACTGGTCACATGTATTGGGTTAAGCAGAACATCAAAGGAGCCATCATATGTTCTTTTATCAGAGCAGCTTAAACAACAAAACACTCTCTTCTTCTTTTACCCCCCAACTTTCTACTTTCTACACGATTCCTCTTGTGCCACAAGAATATCCCCCACACATGTGAGTCCACATGTGAATCAGGAGATACAGACAAGGTCTATATTTAGAAAGCTTGTCATATGTTCATCTTCAACCAGTCATTTATGGACAGCTATGAGAATTGGAAGTGGGGAAATAGTTCCCAATGGATTAATTATACCTCCACTGATCATCTGGATCTTTTTGCTGTGGATAGAATATATATTATGTGTCAGATATGGATGGCTGGAACAGCCCTGTTTGTAGGTCTTTCTGTTGCGAGTACTAACGCCCTCTGTGTACATTTCAACTTTTTTTTCCAAAGGTACCAATTTAGTAAAAAGTGCAGAATATCACGTATAAACCAGGCAGGAGTTTACGTTGACAGTGATGCACTATAAAGGATAATGACTAACTGATTAACACATCTGTCTTTGAATGCAGTACCTTTTTGTACTGTGTGTCTGTTTCAATGTTTTTGTTTTGACTCAATGGAACGCGAACTATGAGGTGCACCTATGAAAGAGTCCCCTGATATTCTGCGTTGTGGACCAGTCACTTAACTGACTAATGAATCTATTTAATTGTCTCTACAGGTAACCTCGGCCGTGTTGACTACATCAGTGAGTTTGAGTTTGACCTCTTCATACGTCCCGACACCTGCAACCCTCGCTTCAGAGTCTGGTTCAACTTCAGCGTGGAGAACGTCTGTGAGACACAGGTCAGGCGTCTGCATTCTTGTATACTGGTAACATAAAACATTAAAGGGGGATTCTCTATAGATGTTATTCTTTTTTCTGTTACACACTCACACTCCTACTTTAAGGCTTCTTAAAGATATTCTGTTATATCAAATGCAGTTAAATTGTGACATTAGTCTAGAATCATACACATTCAAACTGTCAAAACCCCGCTCATATTTCTCTTAACACATCTAACTGAACTTGCACCCATGATGCCATCAAAGTTGTTTCTCCTCAGAATAGAGGCAGTCTTCTGTTCCCTGCCTCTCGTCTTGTCACAGCCTCTGAGCTTGATACTGCCACTAGCAGCCTCTGAGCTCTGTGATTGGCTGACAGATGTGGTCACATGCCACAGAGATACACTGTATGTGGGCACAGAAACTGTGGCTTGAGGGGTTCGGAGGCTTGGTCTGCCATTTAAATGTAACTTTGCAGGATAAGAAGAAGGTACATCTATGAATATTGGCATTTAAGTTTGGCGGCTGCTATGTTATATGAGCTCAAACAAGCTTGTCAGGCTTAGATACGAAGCAAACGAGAGATAAACTTTAAAGATGGCCTGTTTGAAGAATTATAAAGACGGGAGATAGGAAGCAAAGAGGACAGCAAGGATGAATCCACAGCATGCTGTTGCTGCTGTCTTCCTGTAGAGTGTCCAGCACAGTCTATCTGAGGCTATCAGGCCTATCAGCCCATCTCCCTGCAGTGCAGTAGTCAGCACTAATCACATTTTATGGCTCTGAGATGAATGGGAGGCCTCGGCTTGGAGCCGGATCGATCCCAGGGCCAGATAGACCAGCACCAGCAGCCTGCAGCCTGCGCCAACAGGATATTTGCTGTTGTGGCAAAATGACAGAGAAAGTGTGAGAAAGACAGATAGAATGGGACTGGGGAGGGGGATAAGACACAATAAACAACAAAAGATTGATAAGAATCATTCATATGAACACAAAATATAGTGTGGCACATGCAGGCACAAGGTTACAGGTGAGAAAAACAGGAGAACAAACATTTCCTTTGCACAGTTCCACATTCCCCTTATAGGCCTCCCTCACAAGGTTCTCTCATATAAGTCTATTTCTTATCTGTCCAATTTCCTCCTTCAAAGAGGCCTTGTGTGAATTTAATCTACTCCAGTACAAGGTGTTGTGGTTAAGTGCTGCCTGTGCATTCTGCCAAGGTGTGTGTGTGTGTGTGTATACAGAAACTGTGATTAGATTTTGTCTGTGTGCCTCGGGCCACTAGAATACACATACATCTTTGGTCTACATCCTAATAGTTTTAATATGTTATGTTTGAAACCAAAATAAAACACAGAAATTAATCAGACAAAGAATAATGGTATGAGTAAATAAAGCAGCTAAGTGTAGCTATGCGGGGAGAGGCTGTGCTATAGAGATATCAGTGGGTTCCAGGGGAGAACTGGGCTGTTGGAGTGTTTCATCCAGCTAAGCCTTGCTAACTCTCAGCCTGAGCCAGGGGAATGGGGAACAGTAAAAGCCCGTGATATTGGAAGTGAGATGGCCATTTTGAAGGAATGTAAGCTGGTGAAACAGATTTGGTCTGCCTCAATCAGCTTAGCAGCTTTGTGGAAATTGGCTTCACCGTAGCACCGGTTATGATGGATGGCCGGATGGATGAATGTCTTTTTTGTATGCCCTTTCTTTTTTTCTTTTTTGATTCACTCACTTACCTTGAAAAGCCTGGGCCAATAGAGGTAACATGGCTAGCAATGACAGGGACCATGAGACTCTATTTGAGTTTTGCATATTTTATTCTTTTAGAAGTGTCCTGCAAGAGTACTTTTTCAGAATATTTGTTCTGAATGTCTAATGACCCGCAGGAAGACAAAGGTCTGTTAGATGAGTACAATTTTTCACTTTTTCTTGTTTTACCTGCCACTTTATTTTGACCAGCAGCAAAATGTAATGACATATACTAAATGTATCAAGTCTTATATCCTCGACTGAGAGGCAAAATAAGTTATTTGTTATTTTAAAAGCACTTGAGCTTATATGAGGAGAGTGATCGCAATCACAATTTTTTTTTCTGGAATGTGTGTCAATTTGTGATCGCCTCCCGTTCAAACAACCCTGCTATATTGGCATAAAATGTGTCCATCTAAAATATCTCTGATTTGTAACACAAGTTTACACACAACAATATGTGTTTCACTCATCTTTACAAAAGATATGAATAATCTTAATGGTGTATGGTTTATATTTAGATACACTGTTATTCCTCATCTAACATCACCAGTGCATAACTCAATACAGTTTTGCAATACCAAATATCTGAAAAACCACTGACATTTCCAATGATCCTTATAAGAATTTGATCTAAATGGTAAACATAGTATATAGAAAAATGGCAACCTCTCTTTTTGAAAAAATAAGCCAATGCAAAAGTGCAAAATCATGCAGTGCGTTGAGTGTCCGCTTGAGGCTGGCTGCAGAAGCACTGGAAGTCACATAAACAAAGATTTTTTAAAAAGCCCATTGCATGTTAACATTCTGGCTAATGTCTTGATCCGCAAATACTGTACAGGAGGGTGAAATTTTTGATGGCTCATACATTCTGAGTTTATGAAGGATAAGAATTATTCACAATTAGATGCGTAGCTGACCTGACTGATACAGGGTGCAATGTAACGGTTTCTCAGGGGGCTTAAAACTGGCCTCAGCTCCAGCTCTCAGCTCTTTTGTCATTATTTTGACTGAAAGTTAAGTTTAGACAGCATTTTTAACATGATGAAAGCCATCGATGGGACTCCAAAGCCCCCCGCAGTAACAGATGGGTTTAATTTTTACATTACAGTCTATGTACTGTATGGACATTAGCATGATGACATTAGCATTTAGCTAAGACTAAAGCGTAGTCGTTTTATCCTATTATTGAATAATTTTAATAATTTTAATTATTTTAATTTTAATTATCAAATCTGTCATCTTTCTGCTTATTTGCACTTCTGGTGAGATGCCAAACCTCATTTCGTTACTCTATACTTGTATATGTGTAATGACAATAAAGTTGAATCTCATCTCATCTCATCTCATCTCATCTCATCTTATTATTGATCAATGTACCAGACATTTTAGCTGTACAAATGTTATAAACATTGTGAATTTTAGCATGTTGGTAGAGATCTTCTTTGTTTGAATGTTCGGCTCTACTTTTGAGGGTTTGCCTGAACAAATCAAAGACTTACAAGACTGGCATTGTTGGCTTGGTTTTCACTGGAGTATGTCTTCTTTATTCAACATGACTAAAAATTGAAAGCAGAGCAGATTCCCGGGACTCTGATGTGCTAATTTACTTGGACTAAAATCACAATAATAATAAAAAAACACATGACCTTAAAAAGTTTTGTTTCTTATGTCCAAACTGAGTGAATTCCATCCAGCCATGTTCAGTTCAGTTACAGACATTTCATTTCAGTTTCTGCCTATGTTATGACCAGAAAGCAGTGGATGAGTTGATATGACACCCCATTGGGTAAGTTGATATGCCATTCCATTCTGCTGTAGGGGTGTGCTTGATGTCAGGCTCCGTGAAGGGCACGGCTGTGAGCTATTATCATAGGAGCCTTCAGGGAGCCATTCATAGAAGACAGGCAGTAAAACCTTGCACCGAGCGCCTTCAACTCCTCCAACTCCTCCAACTGCTGCAGGGGTGATTTGTAAGCCTCACTTGTTCAGGAAAAGCACAGTGCACGGCGGTTACTCTCCATAATCACGGAAATAGGACCAGGAAGTAGAATAGCCCATGTGTTAACTAGAATCCCTTTAGAGTCATCATCACTTTACTGTTTCAGACAATGCTCCACTATAAATTCATCAACAGAAATGTTGTGCAATTTGTCATTGGGGGATAAAGGTGGATGTGAACATTAAGTTGAACGTTAAATAGGATGTTAAAACTATTAGTGAACCATGATGGATTGTGTCATGTTGATGCTTATCAACCAGTCCTTTTTGTTGTTGTTTGCAGCTTCATATGAATGTGATCAGGCCAAAAAAACCCTCTAAATATCAGTACAGAACTAAACTCAGATATCATGTTTCATAATGCCTTATTAAGTCTAAATGTGTTTTTATTGTTTTAGTTTGAAAAATACTTTATTGATATTGTAATGTTTTTGCAAAAATGACAAAGACAGACAGAAAGAGAGATAAAGCAGAAGTACAAGAGCAGGATAATGGATATAATGCACATTGATTGTCTTCATTTTCCCATTCTCAAGAGATATAGAAGCAAAAAGATAAGGTACAGGAGGAGAAAACACACTGCTGTATTTAAGAAATCTGTCCATTTCATGTAGGAAAAACATTTCTCTCAAATAGAATACGTTCTTCTGGGAATTCAGCTGCCATCAATGCCAGTCTGTATAACATAGCTTCTTGACCTCACTGCTAAATCAGCTCTTGATAATGTAAGAGGGCTTGTGTATCAGCCATTTCTGTGTGAATCAACACATTGAACTTCCAACTGGTCTTCCCAGTTGTGCAAAAACCCCTCCCTGTTAATGAATGGTCAGTCTCATTTTTTCCTTTCCTCCTTGGATGTCTCCTCTCTCAGGTCTATGTTGGAATGTCCTTCAGCAGTGACAGAGGGAGACGAGGGCAGGCAGGTCTCTAGTGAGTGTCATGGGGGGAATGTGCACTAATCATTGCTGGCGTAGCGTGGCCACAAGTGAGCACCGCAGACAGCTGGTTACTGGTGTTTTTTTTTTTTTTTTGCGGAAGGGCCACTTTGGATCCACTTTGAAGGACTTGCTGATTATACAGTATGTATAGCATGATGATTCGACTCCTACCTATATATAGACACTTCTATGTGCAAGGCTCATGCACTTAATGGATCAAACTGACACACAAACTTACTTACATGCTTGCCAAGGGTTTCCCTTTTTTCTTACACAGTCTGTCTAAAAGACTCCACATGCACACGGTCCTGTCAGTTTTGGGCCTTTGCATTG